TAGGTTTGAAGATTGAATTAAATTTAAAATAAAACTAATTTATATATTTTTTTAATTTTTCGCAAGGATGAAGATCCCCATGGGGCCCCACGGGGCAAGGAAAATTCCCCGCAAATTTTCATAGGGAGAAAATACTCCCCGTCTCCGTCCCTGCCCCGCGGGGAGGAATATTCCTCCTCGCCCCGTCCCCGTGGCGGGGATCCCCACTGGGTCCCAAGGGGATCAAGGCAAATTGCCATCCCTAATAGTAGCCTCACCTATGCGGTGAGCCAAAGAGGGAAGATTTACTGATTAGAGGGTTTTTCTAACCTGTGTATAAGGATATGTTTATTATATTTTTTGTATTATTAATATATATAAAAAAATAAAGTTAACATTGATTTTACTATTTATCTAATTAAAAATATTTATGTGATATGTGTGTTAAAATAAATGTGAATTTTTTTTTTCATGTAAATTAATATATAAAAATACATTTAAGACACTATTAACTTGTACCCTAAGATGCATTTAAGACACTTTTAAGTAACCTAATTTAAGACAATCTAGAGTACCCCTTTAATCAAATGCAATAATAAAATTTTTTATTATTTGAAAAAAAAAATCTAAATCAATTAGCATAATTTTAGTAAAAAGAAAATAATTTAAATTTAATAAAAATTAAAAAAGCAATAAACTAAAAAAATTAAATAATGAAGAAGATAGAAGAAGAAGAAGATTAAGAAATAGAAAAGAAGAAAGAAGAAGAAAAGGAAACGAGAAGATGAGAAGAGAGAAAAATAAAAAGGAGAAAAGAGACGAGAGAAGCAAATGAAAAAAGGAAATAATGAAGAAGAAGAAGAAAAGAGAGAAGAAGGCAATTTGGAGGGGTTTGGTTATGACCACCACTTGTTTTGTTAAGATTACCATAATTTAACTAATATTTATAGTTTTTTGTTTTAAGTAGATAGTTATAATATTTGAAAATTGTAGGGTTTAAATTGATTTTAATTTATTAAATAATAAATATTAATTATTCTATAATTTATTAACAATTCTTAATTATCAAATCAAATAGAATTAATAATTTTCAAATAAAATGTTGGTGACCTAAACAAAATAATTGCTGTCTGTAACCATACTCAAGAATTTGGATAAATGGAGGAGAAGAAAGAAGAAAATAAAGGAAAGAAATAACGAAGTCAGTGAAATGTTAGCTATATATTATTTCACACTACACTACACTACAATGTAAAATAATTAAGGCATAAATTTTAAAATATTTTCTGTAAA